CCCGAGGGACAGTCTCATTGGCCTCAGCGCTAAAGAACCCCGCGAGCTCAACCCGGGCAGAAAAATTCGTTAAAAAAGGCCAAAACGTGGGGCGGTTTGGACGCACCGACCCTCAAAGAAGCAAAATATGAGAAAAAAAGGAAATTAAAAAAGTTGTCCGCTACGGCTCCTTGGCTCCCGCTCTCTCTACATCCATCTTATCCATCGGTCCGTCTATCTGTTGACCTCCTTCCTTCTAATTTTCCGTCCTTTACGTGGATCCGTTTGTTATCGATTTCCGAAATTTTATTGAAAATAAAAATTAAGAGCCCGAGTCTGTTACAAATGAGGCCTGAAAACCTAATTCTCTCCCACACTCAAAACGAGGAGAGTCTCTGCCTTTCTGCCTCTATTTTGTCTGCCCACATTCAGTAGCACCACGTCCCCCATCAAAGTCCAAAGGTTGGGGGGGTGGGGTGCGAGGAAGAGAGAAAGGAAAATAAAAGAATAAAAAAAAAAGAGAGAGAAATCTCCTAAGTTAAAGTAGTCAGATTTCCACCTTAAAGTCCTTTTTTTCAGAATAGCGAAGTCTCCCCAAGCCAGCTTCCCTAAAAGTTAGAGAAAGCTGAGAAAAACCGACCGGAAATCTACGAGCAAATAGCTTAAAAATCTCTATCAGTTGGGGTGTCAAGAAGCTCAAATTCTCTATCTGCAAAGCTCTAAGATGCATCTGGGGGTGTCGGCTCACCTCATAGATATCTTCGTACTTGACATTCTCCACTAGCTTCCAGAGCATGATGGCAGCCTGGTCTCTAGGAGGTGAGTGCATTCATGTGAGGAGCAGATGTCTGGCTTCTCAGGACTCCGCTGTCTGTAATGATCCATCTATAATTGGAAATGGGGGATACACACCAAATCCGACGCTCCTCTCCCATCGCAACTTATATCTGTTGTCTCAGACAATAGGCTGGAGAAGGAAGCCTCAGCTGAGATAAAAACATTATTACACGCACAGGAGTTAGATGCAACCCACAGACATATATATTATAAAAATCATAAACACGTATTTACACCCGGACACCCACATTTAGTTATATAAGCACCCCTGGGTCATGCAGGAGTCGACAGACTCTAAACATGCATTTAAAGGAGAGAGAGTTCACCGTGATTAATATAAATACACACGTTTAAAAGCCTCTATATTGAAAATGATGAATCATTGTAGCCATGGACTAAAGTCTTTACAATTCCTAATGAGAAACTAGGGAGCCAACAGCCCCCCCCCCCATTTTCTATGTAGATTTTAAAGAGGGGGACCATTTCTGAGATGTTTAAACACAAAAGCTCCTAATCTTGTGTGTTCAGCAGGAGGGTTTTGAAAACTGGATTTGAGGATTTTTAAGGGTGATCTCTCTGTGTTGATGGCTACACAACTTTTTCTTTTTTTCAACTGTACCTCAGTCCCTGTAGAACAAAAAAGCCAGCTCACCACAGTGAATATTTCTAATATTTTCTGGTCATTCTGCCCAACACATCTGAAAACTTAAATACTGAATCAGCATCTCAGTCTGTACCATTTCTCATTTTAAGTGTTGTTTGGATGTATTTTCAACAGATTCCATGTGCCATTCTTTCTTTGGCTGGCGTTCCATTTTATGAAGTTTTTTTAAAATTTTTTTCAGATATTGGAAGCTACATACATGCACAATTACACAATGTTAATTTGGAGGTTTCTTTGGAGAAGCCCGGGACATTTTATATTTGCATCTGTTGTCTATGACTTTTAAGTGGTTTTAATCCTGGAGACTATAAGAAATGGTCACCTGAACCTTTGGAAGGTTTAAGCAGAATGTTTTTCACGGAGCTAGTGAAAAACATTTTAGGATGCGTGCTTTGTTTGTTTCCTGTGAGTGTATATTTTTCTTAATAAGGTGATTTGTATAGTTTGTTTCTCTACCAAGGAAAACATAAACATCAACAAGAACAAAGTTAACCAAACCTCGAAAATGGGCGCCCCTCAAGGCACAGGGGTTCGGAATTTCACCACGAAGTGAACACTCACCTCATCGCCCTCTTTCCCACCCCCTCTGTTTTTCTGCCCCCATCCAGGGTGCGGAAGGATCCCCACAGCCAGAAGGGAAGACCAGTGCAGGCTCTCTGCCCCTGGGGCAGAAAATAAATGACAGGAGGGAATGAGGAGGGACCAGGGCAATTTGGGGTGGAAGTTATTAAACCTGATAAGAGTGAATCTGCAAAGGGCGATTGTCTGTAAATCTCAGGACTGCTGAGCGCTGCCGTGGGAGCCGAGACGGACGCTCCTCTCGGAGCAGAGGGCTCCGGACAACCGCGGTGGATATCGATCCGATAAAACCCAGGGAGCCGCTTCATATCTTGCAGAATGAACAATTCCGCAGATTTTTTAATTTAATTTTTTAAAGATAAGTCGAATGAAAGGAACACGAAGATGCTTCAGAAGGAACTTCAGAAATAACCTTTCTTCATTTCCAGTTTAATTTTTCTGTTTTGCCTTTCCCTCCCTCTCTCTGCCCTCCTTCCTTTTCCCCCTCCATCCTGTTTTCCTCCCTCCCTCCTTCCTTCCTTCCATCCTTTCTCCCTTCCTTTCTCCTTTCCTCTACTTGAATATTAACAGCTTAAATTATACAAAATCTGTACGGATTTTCTACTAGAAATCTGAGTGAAGATTTCCTTCCTTGTCCCCAGAGCTAGTCTGGACATGGGACGGCTTTCTTCCTAATTTTGTTGCGTAGTGGGACTTGAAAGGGCTTTCGCCTTCCCCTTCTACCCTTTCCAGAACTAACCTCAGCTCCAGATCAATATTTGGCAAGATAAATATAGACTTGGAAATTCAGATTTCCTAGACAAAAATTTATTAATGGGAATAACTGTCTTTTCCCTTTGAAATCAGTAACTCCTTTTATCTTTTTTACCTAAAGATCATTCGAGCCCAAATAAAAAAGCACTTTAAACAATCTTGTTTTTCTCTCCAAATGCTTTTAATACCTTTTCCATCTCTTTTTGGTATATCATTGCTTACTCTAAAATAAACAAACTCTAAAGCTTGAAACAAATAAAAGATCCTAGAGGGATATTTTTATATATAAAACTATAACATATACGATGTTGTTAGTGTAACTATTTTATATAGTCTTATATATATTATATATATAATTTCAATTTAACATATGCAATTTTATTTTATGCTAAAGTTAGATTTTTTTAAAATTAGAAACATCTTGAAATGTTTGGTTAAAAATTATATAAACTTCAGAAAAACTGAAAAGGAGCAAATCTGGTTTATTAAGAATGAAGACTAAATTTTAAAATATATACACACATACCCATATAAAAAGAGATACCCAAAGAAATACACAACTATAATTAAGATCCGAGTCCATTTTTCAACGTGGGCATTATGTTTAAAAATCCTAGAAACTGCAAGGGAAATCTTTCTTAGGAAGCCGTCCGTAAGTCATTGAACGGGCAACAGCGCCCTCTGTTGGGGTTTTGTGTAAGCAACTCCTGCACGGCCGCTCGGATTTCTTTCTTTTTTTTTTTTTCCCAGCGATTTCTTTCGGTTCTTGAAAACCTGTTATTGCTAACAGCATTTTAAAAGTTCAGTTCTTATCACAGATACTAATTTTAGAAACTATTGCTTCAACATCTAGAAAGTTCAAACGCCTCAAAAAAGGTACAAGTAAAAGCTCGTTCTCTACTAAGAAAAAATTCCTGATTTGAGCCAGCTTCTCCTCTCTTAACTTTCCTTTGCATTTCACCTAAACCTCCAATCA